ATACAACTTTCACTGCTACATAGTATCATACCAACAAATCTAGTCTATCTACTAGTAACCAGGTTACAGCAGAACACAACATCACTATACTTATTATATCACCTCAGCAACTTACACAAACTGCAAAACTTCTTTGCCAACATTACTACTTTACAAAACTACTAGAAAAATAGATAAAAATTCTAATTCAAGTATCTACAACCACCAACTCTAGTAATACAAATACTATTAAACTACTTCTACCTTCTATACCAAACAATTTAGAGGATATAAATACAGTTTTAGTATCTTACAATATATAGCTAACATTACCAATTATATTACAAGCACTAGTCACTTCTACTATGCAAACACTGTGCTAATACTTCACAGTTAAAACTTTTTCTAGCTTTTTACTTAAGTTACTACTACTACCAACCCCATCCTAAACAATATTTTCTCATACAAATTTATCTTCTTTACTATGCTAGAGGCTAATACAATATCAATAGATATGAATTAATTGACTAATAACAATACAAACTATAATCAAACTACTTATAATTGCTATATACAATGCTCAAGAACTCAATCAAATTACAAAAAGACAATTACTGTTTGACTACTGTTTAGCCCAAAATTTTGATATTATTTCAATTACAGAAACAAAACTAGCACATTCCAGATATATAGATAAGAACTTACAAACTAGAACTACAAATACTTCTCATCCAACAACTCAACTACAATCTCTTTATATCTTAGAGAATCTAGTATGGGTACAGCTATTCTAATAGCCTAACCACTCACAACATATATACACAACATCAGGTACTACTGTTATCAACTACAAATAACTCTAGAACATTACTAACTAAATATAAAACCTGTACTTACACATCTGCTATAAACTCACACCACCAATGTACTATTATTCTTCCAATTACCTAGTGTATTACTATTATAGTACAAAACAACTTCGTACAAATATTAATGATCTATTACAATACTATCCTAAGCTTAATTTACTAAGCATGAGATACAATCTCAATCAACTAAGAACAATATAGCACAAGGCCCAACTACTCCTAATAACTTATTACATAAACTATTTGCAACAGGCACGCCTTCAACATTTTAACCAAATCAACTTCCAAACAAAAAATCTACAGCTATACCTATATGCTAATACAACAAACTCAAATATCATAGATAGCCAAGCAAGCTTTGCTTGAACCCTTTTACTAACCAATATCTCTTTCTCAGCTACAATAATATATTGACTATCTACTACTAAAGTATACCTCATAGAGGTTATATTAATTTTCTTAATTACTTCACACAATAATAAGATAATTATATATACACTCTATAAACCAACTATAAATTATATTAATTCAGTTATGCAATACTCACACAATCTCAATTTTTTTATCCAAAAGCACAACTATTTGTCTTTTAAACAACTCATTCAAATTCTTATTGCACAGAAAAACTTAACTATACAGTTTACTCTTATAGACCATAAAGCAAACTATCTACTTTTTCAAAAAACAATACAACTAGCTATATCTTCACAGTAGCACAGAATCTAGCTCATACTATATGTACTAGATAACAATAACTTTTACTTGACATAGAACAATATATCAGTAGAACACAAAACTTGCAGATTTATATAATATTTACAAAATACAAAAAACACTGCCAAGTAGTATTCACTTAACAGAACAAATAGTTGACAAGAGATTCAACAAAACACAAACTAGAACAGTACTTACCAATTTATTAACTATGCAACAAACTATAAACAAGATTTATATACCCAAAACTATCAAAAAAAAGAACTTCAAAATTAAATTTCTATTAGATGAGTTACCAACACTACTCAACCTACACTACCGATATCCAAAAAATATGCAAACCCAACATGCAACAGATGCACCCAGGCAATTGAGGATAATACTCATTGGTTAATCTGCCCAATAAACCCAACACCTCTACATCAACTGATAACAAAGACAGCTACAAAATACTGCTCAAAACAGAACAACCAGTTACCAGACTTTGTAACACTAGTACAAAGCTTTTTCAGAAATGGTACAGACATACTAACACCTTATTACTAAAAGGATTAATCTCTGAGATTATCCAGACCATCACTTCAATCCACAACAAAATGTTTATTAAAATCTTACACAAGATATCAACTAACATATATAAACAAATATGGCTTGAATGCTATAAAGGTATACATCAGAATAGACCCCTCACTGATACATTTACCACTATAACCCTGACTCACCCTTCTACACATCACATTAGCACAACTAAATATAACAGATGAGAAACTCTGTTCTCACAACTAACATATCTTCATCATATATAGCTAAACTAAATCTAAGTGGAGGCCAGGTAGCCCACTCTAGTAGAGTTTTGGGCTGAGGATAAACTAGTCCTAGCTGTAGGTCCCTGTAATAATTCATGTAACTCATTTAAATAATGTAACCATAATTATTCAATAAAGACCGAGACCAGGCCTCACTCTTAAAAAAAAAAAAAAACAGCAGTATTAATATATACTTAATGCTCATTAGCCTATGTTACCAGTGGGCATTATTGTTGTAGGTAGAATCGGAATTTAAGTGGATTTAGAATTTCTTAATAACATTACAATTTTAGAGTATAATTTATTTTATATAAGCCTACACCCTAACCCAATAATTCCAATTCCACTTAACCCATTTACAACAATATTATTTTTATTCAATTTTGAAGTCGCTTATAACAATTATATTAAGACATCTGAATCACGCGAAATAATGTATCGGAGTCAATTTTAGACTCGTACCTGATTTTTGTAATTATACTAGAACGGCCCAGACTTATGGTTAAGCCATAATTGATCTTTACGTCAATTGAATATAACTCAAAGAAGTAACAACACGTCAAAAAGCAATAGCTGATATTTACATGATATCAAAAATATATCGTAACATTTAATATACCGTTGTATTTTAAACTGGAATTTATAATAAAAAATTAGCAATACAATGAATTATTCATCTCTAATAATTATTTTGCTTTATTGTGCGATAAGTTTCTACATCGTAAATACCAATACAAAAAATGTGCTATTTGGATTTTTAATCTTTACAACAAATAAGTAAATGTATGTTTTTTTAAAGTTTCGTTTAAATTACAATGACTTATTTAAGCCTGTAATTTATGAAGAGACTCACTATAGCATGCTGGCGTACACTTATTTTATGCAAGTGATACGAACCCAAGAGGAAACTTTGCAATCTGTGTAAAGTGAAGTCAAAATTTTGCTTAGGAAATCCCTTGCTACGTTCTAATAAAAAAAATCTCTGACCAAATTTTACTATGCAACATTCCTAACCCAAACGCTGGCCGAATTTCTTACTATCGGCACGTGCATTATTCCACTTGCAGAAATAAGTAAATCCTCATAGATGCACGCAGAAAAAAGCGGAATTTCTTATAATAATTATTATTAAAATTCCTAATTTAAAAATGAGTTAATCACCTCATTTTAATTGCGAGAAAATAAATATATTCATAAAGTTCTATTATTTAATTCGTAACAACATAGCATGAATGTAAAAACATTTTATTTTGATATAGGTATTCAAAATAATTTATTCAAATTTATTTATTTTTTTCTTTTAAATGTCATTTTAGATGAACATTTACTTACTGTACATACTTAAAATGTGCTATTCATTTTATTTGAGATAATATAGTGAGTAGTATAGAGTATTTATTTATATAAGTATGAAAATAATTTATAAATCTAAAGAGATAAGTATTTAAATAAATGAATTTTACTAAAACGCACCTATGTTGGTTTACACCTATGTATACATTATCTCAAAAACTGGCTAATTAATCGATGTGAGATGTTCTAAGTAAAAATGTTCTATGCCCCAAAAACCCTAATCCTAACCTTAATATTAACTTTAACATGAAAAAATTGGAGTTAAAAATTTTAGATACAAAACTTATAAAAACTTAGAAATTTTTAAAAAACATAATAAAAACATTGAAAATTTTTACAAAATAAATTGCACCGCACATATAATAGGTGCAAAATCACCATAGGTGCGTTTTATAATCATTGTAAATAAATTATTCAAATTTATAAATATTTACTGTTTAATTTTATTTTATTTACATTAATGAACTATTTTATCCGCATTAATGAGAGAGTAAAGAGAGAATTGATTAATCTAATTATTTAAAGTAAGCTATTCATATTCATTATTTAATTTTCATTTGATTTATTTTAATTTATTAATCTAGTATTCAAAGTAAGTTATTCATATTAATTCATATCTAAATTTGAGAGATATATAATAAATGAAATAATTAATATGAGAATTTATGATTTAAAAGAAAATCGGAATATGTAAAATGTACATATCATAAGCAAGATAACACAGGCTAAGCATGATATATGATCGAACATAATAATCATGATCATGGTAACTATATAATAGTAAATATTGCAAGTAGAAGGTGTTGGATAAACCTAATAATTAAATTTGATTATTAATGAAAGGAATTGCGTATTATTTGATTTATAATAAATTTTCTTTTCTGTTACAATTATTTTTTTTAAACTTAATCAATGTAATTGGTGAGTAATCCAAATTGTGCACGGCGATTAATTCAAACGATTTTTGGGTCATGTGAAATGTAAAGTTTTACCACTTACAATGATAATTAATTAATTATTTATTTATTTATTTATTTAAAGAATATGATATAAAAAAAAATATAACCAAAAAAAAAAACTAAAAATACCAATATTTTTAAATATTTGATATATGTAAGATTCACACAATGATTCTACTTTAAAAATATGTTAGAAAATTTTCAGAATGAAATTATCAAAAAAATTATATAAATAATAAACAAATAAGCAATACAAAAAAGAAAATTTTAATCTTTGCTATTCTAATAATTTATATAATGGTTTCTTTTTATGTAATTTATTAAATTCTGAACTGATATAAATAATCATAATACGGTTTGCTATCTTCGATAGCATCATAGACAATTTGTGGAAATTCAATTTCAATATTATGTTTATCAGTAAATTTATTAAAACCAGTACTATTTTCCGCATCACTAGTTAGGATAAATTTATGTTAGTGATTAAGCAAAATTGACAACTTAATAAAATTTTTAAAATAAAATCGGTCATAAACTTTGAAACCTCTGCAATATTTTTATTTCCAACCCACTCTTTGACAGGTTTTGCTTCCCAGTGAGTCATTTCTTCTTTAAATTCTTCTCCAATTAACTCACAATATTTCTTCAAAACTCTTTCTGGATCGTTAATCAAATCATCAGCATCCACAACAACAAGTGGTTTATTTAACTCTTTTAGCAAATCAAAAATTTGTTTGGTTTCTTTCAATCCTACTATATCCTTGCTGAAACGTTGAGTAGAAAATACAGAATCTTTAGGTGCGAAATTATTTGCTTTATATAAAGATTTTGCTGACTTTTCAGGATTACGGATTAAGAACGTGTGTGTCATCTCTAAAAAACGTGAATCTGATAAAATGGTAGATCCCGATGTAAACTTTAGAAAAAAATTTGTATGTTCTTTACAAAATACTCGTTTTGATTTATTCGAGGAATCATCATAATAAGTTTTCCAAATTTCGTCAAATATAGATAAAACTTTTGGCATGAATAAATTAGTATCCTCCAAAGGTTCGGAAGGATCTGCAACACCATTTTCAAAAGCAAGTTCAAGAAATGGTCCACGAATAATATGAAATTCTTGAGGGCGTTGAAGAAATGTTCGCTGAAATGCATGGGAAATAGATCTGGCATGGGCTTAATAATAATAAAATAATTGTTTTTTAAAAAATCTAGAATAAACCATCACTAATAAAAGTCATACATAAATAATATCATAAATTATATGAATAATTGTAATTTAAACTTTCGCTACTATATCTTAATAAATTTCCATGAACAAAGTATGGAATTCATACTTATTCAAAATTCATAAAAACGTGTATATTTTTGATTCTTATTTGCAATAAAAAAAATATTTGTGAAATTATTACTTACTCCAAAGAATTATTGGCTTTCGTTCAGACATATTTACTACTATATCGATATTCCTATATGATGAATAGTGTTGAAAATAATATTTTTAAATTATCTGTTTTTTATCAATATTCTTTCTTTCGTAAGACATTAAACAAATATTTTTTTTTAAAAAAAAAATTTTCTAGAAAATATAGAAGTTTTAAGGTTCATAACAAACATTTCAATATTAACTTGTAGGGATGGGCCACTGAGCAGCCTGCGCAGGATTTTTGAGAGACCGCGCAGCGTGATTTTTTAAATTCAGGATAACTGGTATAATTCTGGTCAGCTTGCATAATGTTGCAGACTGCGCATTGAATTCAAAAAATGCTCGATCTGCCCATCCCTATTTACTTGCTTCTGGGACGATAATAAATAAATTTATTGTGTTCGTCGGTATAAATATAAGTATTAAGCCAATAAATCAATATTAGCGTTAAAGAGAATTTAATTTAATTTGCAATTACGAAAGAGGAAAACGACTAAATTTATAATAAATCAAGGTAATGCACGATCGTGAACTCACTTCATGATCATTACGCGGTTAACCAAGAGATTGGTAATTCACTTACCGTTTGAGTTATCGCGTATAAAGACACGATGCCTATCTTGTTAAATAAGAAAAAGATGAATGCAACAATAATAAAACTAAATGAGAATTCGGATGAATAAAGAGAAAGTCGAAGTCTGAGGTCTAGAGAAGGAAAATGTGAAGGCTATATATACATGTTTGAAAGAAAGATGTGCAAGAACAGATACATTTCTAACCGATACTACTTTAGTCTAAATTTCTTTACCGCTGTTTTCATAAATTCTGGAACGTCTGGCAAAAAATTTACCACTGAATATTTATCGATTCGATAAGTTCTGATTTGGTCATTACTCCAATTGGTTTCAATTTTTTTTGGACATATGGGATCTTTGCTAGGAAAATCACCCTTCGACATTTTCCGATCGGGCTAATTCGGACAAATTCAAACCAATAT